AGTTTTGTCACGTTCTGCCATGTTTAGTGCACGTTTTGTCATGGTTGCTTCACGGTTGCTGTGCATTTTGTCCCGTTTGCCACGTTTTGCCAGGGTTTGCCACGGTTCTCACGGCAGGCCAGGGTGTATGGTAGCTATTTTGTCGCGTTTAATCACGGCGCATCCCGGCGTCTGATGGTTTACGGGTGCGGCGCATGCGTTCTGACATGGTGCATGCGGTCGGGAGGTAGTACATAAAAGAGGGGCACGGCAGGAGCCTCATTCCAGTCTGAGCAATCGATGACACATTACTGCACCTACAATAGGAAGAAAGAAGGTAAAGCTATGCCACCGAAGAAGCCAAGACGTTTGAAGGCCCTCTGTCCTGCACCACCACCACCACCACCAGGATACAATGATGGATAATGCTTGGGAGGCCTTCTTTTTATACCGTGGGCACAATCGTGCTCCAAAGCTGCCTGGTGTCCACATTTCATCCGTAGAAAGCCCTGACAGAACGTGAAACACGTGTCAGAACTTGAGAAACGTGAGGGACCCCATCACAACGTGACAAGCCGGGAGGAAACGTTCTAGCTCCCGTGGTAGAACGCGGGCCGAACGGTAGTGCGCCTTGGAGCCTCCGGGACTCACCATCCCCTTCCCCACATGGCCTGTCACGGATACCGTGAGAAAACTTGGCAAGACCTAACAAAACTTCAATACACAGATAAAATTGGTCTAAATCCCACGGCGCACTACGTTTCGGGCAAACGGGGCTGCCATGGCCGCCGGGAACATAGTGTAAACGTATAGTTAAAGAAAATATTTTCTTTTAAACTTTGTTTTATTATAAACAAATTAGTAATTAAAAAGTTATATTTTGGTATTGGCCTCCCTACTCATGATCTTTATGTGGATATTTAATGAATATTTACTTCATTTTTGGCACTCCAGCAAAGCATAGAGAGTCAATGTTAATGCGTAGTGACCTCTAGGCTCTAGCACTGCACTACGTGTTAATAGGCAGCATTTGAATACATGAATAGTCAATACACTCACAACATGCGAATGCACACAATTATGCCGATGCGGCTGTAAGCAAAGCTTGACAGTAGACTTACAATTTGAATTTTTAAATTATTCTTTTTAACATCAGTAAGTTGAAAAAAATGTATTTTACTGCTATTTAGGGCCTCATCAATTGTCACTAAACTAAAGTACCGATATTGAGTGAAATCAGTTGAGTTTTGTACAGTGGTATTTGAAATGTTGAGAATCAAAAGCACAGCTTTTACTACACAGCAAGGATAGTGATGCTCCTATGTGTGGTCATATATAGGTTTCTGAACAAGCGTCATCCACTCCACATGCTCCAACTCCAGCAAAGCATAGAAAGAGGATAGAGTAGGGAGGCCAATGCCCAAATCTAACTTTTTAATTACGAATTTGTTTATAATAAAACAAACATTAAATGAAAGGATTTTCTTTTACTAAGACAATTAACTCACCCATCTGCCAACTCCAGAATTTCCATAAAATAGGAGATATCCAGCTCTTTTCTATGCATTTCCTTCTACGCCTGGCCATACGCAAGAGCCTTGAAACGATCAATTTCATGTCCCCAAAAATTACGTCAAAAATTAGACAGGCCCGAGGGAATAGGCGTGTCATTGCCCGAACAACAAGTTCAAAACTTCGCGCGAAAGTACATTCATCTTTCGGCTAGCCTTGAATCGGTCGCACACACCGAACCACTTCAACCAGGCAACCGCCGCAATACAGGCTGAAGTTGAAATCGAAGAATTCGAACCATCATTGTATGTACGACTACTAAATCTACGAGTAAAAAAAGAAGGAAAGAACTAGATCTAATTCATTAATATTTACCTTAGATTGGTATTCCAATAACTTGATTTCCTCATAAGTATTCCTTATGATTTCAGTCGGAGATCTACTGTACAATCAACAAGAACGACCTCCATAATCCATGCAGCAGCTCACACTCACAGTGCTACACAAGATACTACCACATATACCTGCATATACCTGTATGATCTCTCTTTCTCTCTTTCTCTCTCTCTCTAAGCTGTACGCGACAACTAACCATTTATCACGCACTCACAATCACATCATCCAATCATATCTTTTCATCCTAACTTCTCAATTGGAGTAGGCCTATAGGGTCTAGACTGCTCACGTAGACATTTTTTTACTGAAATATCGTTTTTAAACATTTTTTCATATATGACTTACTGTACGAGCTCGACACTCAAGTCTCGTGCTGTGAGAATAAGGTACTGTGAGACTAGCCAAATTTTTTCGGTGGGCATTCTGACAGGAGCTCATACATTATTCATATTATGATGTAACGTTTAAACGTAACAAGATCTCTATTTGGGGCTGGAACAATGACATCTCTGTTCACAGTTTCCCTTCTCAATTTGAGATGGCTGTAGCTATCGGCCTCAAACCAACGCAAGATTGACAAAAACATCGTAGAGTCTACTCTATCTACCTTCAAATGTGCAGTTTTTAAAAATCTGCAATTGAAAAGATATCTTTTTTAGTTATAGTCTATTTTCTAGTTGTTAAAAGTGACATTTGTGCACATCTGATATGTTAATCTCTATCAAAAGTTCTTTCATTTAAAACGGATTCCATATTTTTAGGGTTTACCTTCTGCCATTGAGAAGGATTTTAGTGAGCTAACCTCCTTGCCCTCTAGGACCCCTCTAGTTTCCCTTATGTGCGCGCTAATGTTCGTCTGCCAACATAATTATTGGATTAAAATACATCAAAATCTGCAAGATCGTCAACAACTACAGATCCGTGATTATAGGTATGTTGTGGAGTGTACAATTGTGTATTTGTTATAGATTTTATTCTATAGATACTTGCTTTCTTTTTTTTCCCTTTTTTTTTTCTTCTGGTAATTTTCTGACTTGGACGACGAGCGCACAAATCGTAGGCGTATATGACGGGCGGATCGCGCCATAAAGATGACAACTATACAACTATACATCCATCGAATGGATGTAAGGTTTTAACCAATCAGAACGCAGGAAACTGTACAACTATACAACTATACAACTATACGACTATGCAACCATACAGCTATAGAACGTATGTAAGGTTGTTACGTTTGCGGGCCGAAATGCCATAATTGCGAACAACCATACATCCATTCAGCTTTATGGTTGTACGGTTTTAACCAATCACAATGCAGGAAACTATACAGCCATGGCGGCGAGAATGTCTGTATAGTTTTATGCCTGTATGGTTTTAACCAATCATAATGCAGGAAACTATACAGCCATGGCGGTGAGAATGTCTGAATTTAGCCGACACTTATGCCTCTAAAGCCATTGAATGCTGAACATAGCAAAGCAATGATGGAATAAATAAAAATAAAAATTGATCTTATAGGCCTACTAGTAGGTCTACTAAATAATATTGGATCTAGTGGTAGATTTACTAGTAGTCGACCAGAACTAGATCTAGACTAAGTGATAGCTAGGTCTAGTACTAGTACTAGGCCTAGATCTAGTGCTTAATTAGTACTGCTACTACCTAGTACTATTCTATTTAATTTAGTGGACTATTACTATAAATAGACCTAGACCTACTAGTAAATAGTAGATCTAGACTATTATTACTATAGACTAGACCTAGATCTACTCTAGTAGACTAGATCTAGGTCTATTATAGAAATATTAGTAGACTTTAGGCCTAGATTTACTCCTATTTAGATCTACTAATACTAGACTAGGTCTAGATCTAGATCTAATTTCCTATTAAAATCGGCAACTGTAGATCTAGACCTAGGTCTATTTAGATCTAGTCTAGGGTATATAGGGTCGAGATCTCTCTCTAAGCAACAGACCCATCGGCAAATGTATATATAGACTACAACATGATTATTCCTAATGACGTGGAGGACCTACATTGTTATCAACTGCACGAATAAATTAAATTAATTAATTTGTACCTTTCCTAACCGAACATTAAACTTTGGTGGACATTTGCAGTTGGACCTGGATGAATTTATATGAATGAGACTGAAATGCATGAACTGGTGCAATTCGCCCATCTTTTTCCAAGTTGGGGAGTAATATTTGTATGTTTATTTAGAATATCGTTCGGTTAAACAACAAATTATTTGCCTTATTGCATTAGTTTAGCGATTCATGGCTAGTCTATATAATTTCCTGCATTGTGATCAAAACCGTATAGCCATAAAACTATACAGACATTCTCGCCGCCATGGCTGTATAGTTTCCTGCATTGTGATTGGTTAAAACCGTACAAGCAAAAAACTATACAGACATTCTCGCCGCCATGTCTGTATAGTTTTCTGCATTATGATTGGTTAAAACCGTACAGGCATAAAACTATACAGACATTCTCGCCGCCATGGCTGTATAGTTTCCTGCATTATGATTGGTTAAAACCGTACAGGCATAAAACTATACAGACATTCTCGCCGCCATGTCTGTATAGTTTTCTGCATTATGATTGGTTAAAACCGTACAGGCATAAAACTATACAGACATTCTCGCCGCCATGGCTGTATAGTTTCCTGCATTATGATTGGTTAAAACCGTACAGGCATAAAACTATACAGACATTCTCGCCGCCATGGCTGTATAGTTTCCTGCATTGTGATTGGTTAAAACCGTACAACCATAAAGCTGAATGGATGTATGGTTGTTTGCAATTATGGCATTTCGGCCCGCAAATGTAACAACCTTACATACGTTCTATAGCTGTATGGTTGCATAGTCGTATAGTTGTATAGTTGTATAGTTGTACAGTTTCCTGCGTTCTGATTGGTTAAAACCCTACATCCATTCGATGGATGTATAGTTGTTTAGTTGTCATCTTTATGGCGCGATCCGCCCGTCATAGGCGTAGAAACCTTACGCCCGGGCATTGGCCTCCCTAGATTGAGTCATACTCCAGAGAGCCCGACGCGACGTGATGCCGAGTTACATAGAATCTATAGATCTATGTCTACTTACGTTCATTCTTGAGCTTAATATGGAAGAAATTGCAGTTGCCATCAAATTCTTCGACAAATAAATTTGGGAACATTTGAATGCGATCTCCTCTCAGGTTGTTCACGGATCCGAGATAATTTAACTCGGTATTTATCGCTCCAATGAGAGGAGGATAGTCACCAAAAATGGGTCCTACAGTGTCTCTAAATCGTATAATCGAAAAGGAAAAGGAAAATTTTGCACGTCAAGGCTGACGGTATAATAGGAAATCTAATCTCTTACTAGTAAGAGACTAGATTTGGATGTTTTGAAAACTATCTCATGACATTTTAACTAAATGATACGAAATCGCATGGGGTGAAATATGAAAAACGATGGAGCGACCAATTAAAGGGGAAGTCCACCCTGAAATTAAGTTAGTTTTAAAGGGAAAGTCCACCCTGAAATTAAGTTAGTTTTAATAGGAGTAGAAAAATGAGAGAAACAAGTCAGTGAAAGTTTGAGCAAATTCCGATTAAAAATAAGGAAGTTAGGATTTTTTGAAATTTGTTGAAGTTGTGATCAATCAAACACAAATTGGCAACTCTATGACGTATCATGCGAGCTCAACTTCCATTTGCTCAGTACTAAAAAAATCTAAAATTTTCATTTTCCCTCAAGAAAAATTTCAACCATACATGCACCCTAAATATAATAATTGCAAATATGTTTCTATACTCCCCCTGCAAGGAACAAATATATATTCCGATCATCAATAACGAAGAAAACATGATTTTATGGAATATTATGCACAAAGCAAATGAAGGAAAGCTCGTATAATAAGTCACAGAGTTGCCAATTTGTATTTGATTGATCACAACTTCAATAATTCATAACTTTCTTATTTTCATTCAGAATTTGCTCAAACTTTCACTCACCTGATTTTCTGCCTCTATCGAAACAAATTTATTTTGGGGTGGACTTTCCCTTTAAGCGGGGGTATGTCTGGGAGGAAGCATTTGCTATTTTAAAACCACATTAGGCCCATTTTCAGGCATTTCCTGGTGAAATATGACGTAAAATTGATATCCTCTACCCCAGGGGCGTAAATCCGTACCGAGGAGTGGGGGGGGGGGGGGGGGGATGATCGGCGATATAGCCATCACATACTAGCAGGAGCACACGCCCACACTAATTTACGCAAGCGCGCGCGATCGCGCACGCACAAACTTTTTTTTTTTTTTTTAACAATTTTGTTTTATTTCTCCAGATGTGTAATACAAACCATGACATACAATTGAATAAAATAAACGTGTTCAATATTGATGCTTTTACATAAACATAATTAAACACAAACTTATTTGCAGTATAATATAACTTAGCAACAAAGTAAACGTATAAGTACCTAAACATATATTAATATGTCAATTGTAAATGTTATTTACTAATATATTACAAAAAAAACTTAAACAAATCTGGAGGTAATTTTACTGAAACAATCCTGCCCCCTCCCTGCCCCCTCCATCACACAAACATACTCACCCTCTATCACACAAACATACTCACCCACCCAAACACATACTCACCCACCCACCCACCCACCCCCCCCCCCCCCACACACACACAGTACCAGGCACGGATCCAGGGGGGCCGAGCGGGCCTTGGCCCCCCCCCCCCCTCCCGCAAAAAAAAAAAAAAAAAAAAGAGAGAGAAGAAAGGAAAAGAAGGGAAAGGGAAAGAGGAGAGAAAGGGAAAGAAAGAAGAAGAAGAAGAAAAGAAAAGGGGGAAGAAGGAAATCGGGGGGGGGACCGAAAGGGCCTTGCCTCCCAGGCTGTTGACCCCCTCCCCAATTAAAAAAATAGGAGAGAAGGAAGGAAAGGGAAAGAATAAAGGAAAAAAGGAAATACTGGCGTACTAATAGGGGGGAGGGGCTTTGGAGAAATCAAAGTTCAAACGTGGTTTATTTTTAATTCCACAACGGTGGATTACAAACTGCTGAAATGACATAATTTCCCAGATTTGTCCTCATTTTTTAGTAAATTATACGTTTGTATATGTGTTTGTTGGAAAATGACAAATTCCTGAATTTACAGCCAGGCACGAAATATGATTCTTGAGATTCCTACATGTCAGGGCCCGAGGTACGGCAGGGATCGGGAGCCTCGAGCTCCCCCCCCCCCCCCCCCCCCCCCCACTTTATTTGAAAAAGTATATTAAAGAGAAAAAATAGAATGAGAGCAAGAAAGAAAGAATAGTTAACTGCCAGTGTTAAAAAATGAGGCATCAAAATATGCTCATCTGACCATGATTAAATGCCTAAAACCCCTAAGCTTCCGGGGCTCTGCCCCCTGGATTCCACCTTGGGTGCTACGGCGGGCCCTTAGATGCTCATCTGACCGTAATTTAATGCCTAAAACCCCTCTTTTGGGGGGGGATCCGCCCCCAAAAAAGTGACCTGCCAGTGTCACAAAAAAATAGGTATTAAAAAAAAAAATGATCATCTGACCTTAATTAAACGCCTAAACCCCTGAGCTTCCGGGGCCGGACAAGTTATCAAAATGTGTTTATCTGACCGCAGGCGCGTAGCCAGGGGGGGGGGGTGGTCCCCCCAAATCGGAAGAGGACGTAGGAAGTAAAAGGAGCAGACAAAGAACATCTTTGAAATTGAGACAAGGATTAAGAGTATAGAGAACGGTACAACGCATCGTCTTCTTTCTCTAATAATTTAATGAAACGTCAAAGCTTCGCGCAAGAGGGGAGGGGGGGGGCTGAATTCAGACAAGGATTAAGAATCGAGAACGGTACAACGAATCGTCTTCTTTCTCTAATGATTTAATGAAAGGTAAAGCTTCCGCGCTTCGCGCGGGAGGGGGGGGGGACCTGAATTCAGGCGAGGATTAAGAGTCGAGAACGGTACAACGAATCGTCTTCTTTCTGTAATGATTTAATGAAAAGCTTCAGCGCTTAGCGCGGGAGAGGGGGGGGGGACCTGAATTCAGACGAGGATTAAGAGTCGAGAACTCTACAACGAATCGTATTCGTTCTTTAATAGTTTAATGAAACGTCAAAGCTTCCGCGCTTCGCGCAGGAGGGGGAGGGGGGCTGAATTTAGACGAGGATTAAGAGTCGAGAACGGTACAACGAATCGTCTTCTTTCTCTAATGATTTAATGTAACGTCAAAGCTTCCGCGCTTCGCGCGGGAGGGGGAAGCCTGAATTCAGACAAGGATTAAGAGTCGAGAACTCTACAACGAATCGTCTTCTTTCTCTTATAATCTTATGAAACTTAAAAGCTTCCGCGCTTCGCGCGGGAGGGGGGGGGGGACCAGAATTCAGACGAGGATTAAGAGTCGAGAACTCTACAACGAATCGTATTCTTTCTTTAATAGTTTAATGAAACGTCAAAGCTTCCCCGCTTCGCGCAGGAGGGGGAGGGGGGGTACTGAATTTAGACGAGGATTAAGAGTTGAGAACGGTACAACGAATCGTCTTCTTTCGATGATTTAATGAAACGTAAAAGCTTCCGCGCTTCGCGCGGGAGGGGGAAACCTGAATTCAGACAAGGATTAAGAGTCGAGAACTCTACAACGAATCGTGCAGGAGGGGGAGGGGGGGGGGGGACTGAATTTAGACGAGGATTAAGAGTCAAGAACGGTACAACGAGTCGTCTTCTTTCTCTAATGATTTAATGAAACGTAAAAGCTTCCGCGCTTCGCTCGGGAAGGGGGAACCTGAATTCAGACGAGGATTAAGAGTCGAGAACTCTACAACAAATCGTCTTCTTTCTCTAATAATTTAATAAAACGTCAAAGCTTCCGCGCTTCGCTCGGGAAGGGGGAACCTGAATTCAGACGAGGATTAAGAGTCGAGAACTCTACAACGAATCGTCTTCTTTCTCTCATAATCTTATGAAACTTAAAAGCTTCCGCGCTTCGCGCGGGAGGGGGGGGGCGACCTGAATTCAGACGAGGATTAAGAGTCGAGAACGGTACAACGAATCGTCTTCTTTCTTTAATAGTTTAATGAAACAACAAAGCTTCCGCGCTTCGTGCAGGAGGGGGAAGGGCAGGCGCGGATCCAGGGGGGGGGGCCGAGCAGGCCTTGGCCCCCCCCCCCCCGCAAAAAAAAAAAAAAAAAAAAAAAAAAAAAAAGAAAAAGGAAAAGAAGCGAAAGGAGAAAGGGAAAGAAAGAAGAGGAAGAAGAAAAGAAAAGGGGGAAGAAGGAGATCGGGGGCCGAAAGGGCTTTGCCTCCCAGGCTGTTGACCCCCCCCCCCCCCCCCCCCATAAAACAAACAAGAGAGAAGGAAGGAAAGGGAAAGGAAAAGAGGAGATACTGGCGTACTGATAGGGAGGGGGGATTTTTAGTAAATTATACGTTTGTATGTGTTTGTTCAAAAATGACAAATTCCTAAATTTGCAGCTAGGCAAGAAATGTGATTCTTGAGATTCCTCCATGTCAGGGCCCGAGGTACGGTGGGGATCGGGAGCCTCGAGCTCTCCCCCCCCCCCCCCACACTTTTTTGAAAAAGTATATTAAAGAGAAATAAAATAGAATGAGAGCAAGAAAGAAAGAATGCTTAACTGCCAGTGTTAACAAATAATGAGGCATCAAAATATGCTCATCTGACCGTGATTAAATGCCTAAAACCCCTAAGCTTCCGTGGGCTCTGCCCCCTGGATCCAACCAAGGGCCCTACGGCGGGCCCTTAGATGCTCATCTGACGGTAATTTAATGCCTAAAACCCCTGATTTTGGGGGCTCCGCCCCCTGGACCCAACGCCAAATAGTTACCTGCCAGTGTCACGAAATAATAAGGTATACTAAAAAAATATGCTCATATGACCTTGATTAAACGCCTAAAACCTCTATGCTTCCGGGGCCGGCTTCGCCGCCGCCCCAGACAAGGATTAACAATCGAGAATGGTACAGCGAATCGTCTTTTTTCTCTCATAATCTTATGAAACGTGAAGCTTTCGCGCTTTGCGCGGGAAGTGGGGAACCTGAATTCAGACAAGGATTCAGAGGCGAGAACGGTAATACCAATCTTTTATGATTTAATAAAACGTAAAAGCTTCCGCGCTTCGCGCGGGATGGAGGGGAGGGGGGAACTTAATTCCGACGAGGATTATTTTCGAGAGCGGTACAACGAATCGTCTTCTTTCTCTAATGATTTAATGAAACGTAAAAGCTTCCGCGCTTCGCGCGGAGGGGGGGGATGGAACTGAATTCAGACGAGGATTAAGATTCGAGAACGGTACAAGGAATCGCCTTCTTTCTTTTATAGTTT